TCTAGTAGTACTTAGGCCATAACTTACAACAGATTCAGCTAGGGACAAATATATGAGTCTAAGGGCTCTATATGGTAGTTTATTTTTTAATATAGGTAGTCTACTCGCGATTGATCTTAACTTGGCGCATACGTAATCTTTGTGAGGTCCCCAGCAAAATCTCTCGTCAATCAAAAGACCCACATACATATGTTGTTTCACATTATCAATTGGCTGACACGTGCAATTAAATGTCGGGTTATGAATACAGTTATGATTGTGACCCACCACGGTGGGTGTGATGTCGGCTTTATTGTGAGAGGTGTGAATATGCAATAACTTAGTCTTTTGAGCGTTCACCACCAAACCAACGTCATAGGCCCACTTACACACGATATCAAAATTATTTTGCATTATTTGTTCAGCTTTACTTACACTTTTGGCGGCTACTACCAAGCAGGTATCGTCTGCGAATTGGTACACCGATCCCTCTTTAATAAGTGAACACATATCATTGACATAAAGTAGATATTCCATTGGGCCAAAGATGGAGCCTTGAGCCGTGCCTCTCTTTGTTAGAGTCATGTTACTGTACTGATCACATATTTTAACAACAGAGTGGCGATTCGTTTGGTAGCTTTTGATAAGCTGCAGAAATAGACCCTGTATACCGCATTGAGTTAGCTTATGGTAAAGAGTACTATATTGTAACATGTCAAATGCCCGACTTAAATTAATAAAAATCACTAAAATGTGTAATTTATTATTTAAATGGTCATTAATTTCGTCTGTAAAATTTCATAACAGCTGCGTAGTGCTTTTATGCTTCTGAAAGCCATATTGATTTGCGTTAATTATGTTGTTTTTGGACAAATATTCATTCACTTGCTCACTTAGGAAACGCTCTATAATTTTATCAAGACATGAGAGTATAGTTATTGGACGATAATTACTATAATCTAAATTAGTAAAAATTTAAAAATTGGCGTAATTACTCCTATTTTTAAAAATTGGCGTAATTACTCCTATTTTTAATAAGTCAGGATATGTGCATGATTTAATACAACAATTAATTAAGTGAGTAATTATATTTATCATCACATCGGAAATAAATTTTATGTCACAGACACGAATACCATCGTAACCGGGAGTTTTTTCTCATTTAATTTTTTAACTATATGGCTTATTTTAATATTATTAGCTTTTTTTATGTAAATTGATGTATCCGACACAGTTTCATATGTTAATGGATCTTAAATCTTTGACGTACAGGTATTAAGAGTATTTTCATTATTCGTTTTATCAAACTCTTCCGAAAAATTGTTTGCTAATTTTGCAGGTTCCATATTAAAGGTTTTAAGTAATATTTCATCAATACATTTAGAAATTTTACCTGTAAGTCTGTTAATTATTTGCCATATTTTACGAGTGTTTTTAAAATTTTCAATAATCTCTAATTTAGTTTGTCTATTTCTTAAATATTGTGCGTACTTATTTGTTTTATTCCTATATTTATTGTAAAGTAAACGCTTTTCGGCATCATGTTCATCTCGGCGCCAAAAATGAAAAAGTTCATCTCGTTTTTTACACATATTTGTAAATCGATGATTAACCCAAGTACACATTTTTCTTTTACTTTGAATAGACCTAATAAATGAATATTTACATTTATCGTGCGCATTTTTAATATTATTATGTATATAATTAACTATTAAGTTGGGGTCCTCGTAACTAAGTGGCAATTGCCAGTCAATATTATTCAATTCTGCGCGCAGCCGCCGATTATCAATACGAGTGATAAGATGTTCAGGATCACGTGACCCCGGCATATTGCCGTTTTGTTGCATTTGTAATGCATTTAGTATGGCGCAACCGGTTACACAATGATCAGCTGGCGCGATGCTCACTACGGCTGTGTAAACGTCCAATGAGCTCACATTACGAATAAGAACGTGGTCGATGCATGACTTCGTGATTTTATTCCCGTATTTTTCAATACGTGTACAATTACTAATTGCACTTTCTAGACCTAGCTCACAGATCGAGTTTAGGTAATTAGTGATAACTGCGTTCGATTTTTTTTGTGTCAAGATTCATATCTCCCATAACTATGTAATTGCCCGTGTATGATTGCTGAGAAAGTAAATCTGATAATTCCCGTGTGAAATGTTCCCTGTTCGTGTTCGGTGGTCTGTATAATGCACACAACATAAGCCTATAACTACTATCTGCTATAATCTCACCCGTAATGCACTCGAATTCCCGCACTATAGTATTTTTCCTACAAAACTTTAGACTATTGTGTACATATAATAAAACACCACCACCCCTTCTGTGTGTTCTTAATCCATGGTACAGAGAGTAGTGAGTGGTACAGTAACTAGAACCAAGTGTATTGCATGAGTCGAATTACTTATTGTATTTTCCAATAATGAGAAATTCTTTGTAATCGATGATATATTTACATGATGACATCTTTGTGACTAACATGACCTTCAACTTCGTTCTACTGATACTCTTGCACTATCTTTTCCTCTCTTTCACTCTGGCTATATGTCTGATTCCTTTGCCCTCCAATCTTCACGACTCTGGAACAGCCTCCCTGACTCCGTTAGAAGGTCACCTACTAGGTGCAGTTTTAAGAAGAAAGTTCATGAACTTCTCCTAGAAAGCTAAGAACGTTAAGTTTAACTCACAATTTCCCTTCACAGTCTCATCATCAATATATTTTATAAACGGTGTTAATAATAATTATGCGTCTATGTATGTGTATACAGAAAATCTATCAACTAAGATGAAAAAGTTATTTTACTTATGTATATTATAAATATTTATATAAGTAATATATTTAAATGTATTCTATGCATGTATATTTAGGTTTATTTTTAAATAAATATTTATGTAGTTACTTTTACTGGTGTATGTTTAAAGTAAATCACTTTTTTTTTATTATTATAGCCGCATTCGTGGATTTCTTTATGCCTAAAGGTTGACTGGCAGAGAATGCTTTTAGCGTTAAGTCCGCCTTTTGTCCATTTTTGTAATTGTGGCAATAAAGTTTAAATAAATAAATAAATAAAATAAATAGTGTAAATATGTAGTGTAAGCCTGACGTGTGTTTGTGTTTAGTTGTGTGTATGTGCTAAAGAAAATATTTTTACAAGGCAAAATTACAACAAAAATCAAAATATTTACAATTACTACAGTAAGGTTGTATCTCAAATATTTTGTGATAAATATATTTATATTTCATCACTAGTTTTATAAAAGTAGATAGTCATATTTGCAATTGTAAGTTAGTTAAATCATTTTCACATTTAATCATATGATGATCAGTGCCATCGGTTTTGCGCAGAAAAAAAAAATCCGTGAGACCCAACAGTACTTAAAATTATTCAATTTTGCAAAATCACGACATAAGTAAAATAACTTTTTCATCTTAGTTGATAGATTTTCTGAAATAAAAATTGGCTTGGCGGGACCACTGATTTTAAGGGTTTCAATTACTTTGTCTCTTGTTAAGACACTGATGAAATCTACAATCATAGGCCGTTTTACCGAGTCTCTGGTAGAAAGACGAAAAACATCTTTTACATCATGTGGTTCTATTTTTAAATTAATTTCATTTATGGTATGTAGATTGATTGTTTAATCTCTTTCTTAACTAGTGGAATATTCCTTAACTCAATACAAGTGGATTTCATACCACTTTCAAACTTGTAAATTTTTTCTTCTAACTTTTGTATGTACTGAATTTTTCACGACGTTCCGCCTGAAGTGTATTAATTTGTTCCACAAGAGAATCAAAACTGTGCGACAAAAAGTCTATAGAGTACGTATTTCATTGTTCTGGTTCTTTATTTCCTCAAAAGAAGAGAACATTTTTTTAAATTTGTTGAACTTTTCCTCTTGCTGATTTTTAAATTCGATAAACATAGCTTTCATTTCTGACATAAAAGATATTAATTTCGAGTCGGTGTTGTCATCAGGGTGTTTTCGCTTTGCGCGATGGCTTACATGTGTTTCTTTTTGTTCCCCTTGACGCTCAGTAGTTAAGTCGGATTCTGAGCGACAATGTTGTATAGGTTGCGCAAGCGTCAATAGTGGCGGAGGGTTGCGATCGACAGGCATGTTTATAATCAGTACCAGGACACTATAATGTCTAAAGAAACGGTAGTCTTTGTACAGCGTATTCTTCTACTACAGGGGTCCACGTAATTATTTAAAACATATCGAGAAGGTTTGTCTCTATCAGGATATCTTTTGCGGTACTACCGCTAAACTAATGATATGTCTTTGTGGTTCATAAAGTAAGCTTACATTAAATCTATTTTATTTTGATGCGCCATGGTAAGAAAATTAACAAAAAATTGCAAATAAACGAAAATGAAACTCACAAAAAACAAAAGAACACAGGCTTGAAAATTTTTATGGTCCATTTTCGAATTATTATTACAAACTTCAGCCAATCGCATTGTAACTGAATTAAAAAAGAAATGCATACGTACTACAATTTGTATCACACTTTATTATTTTTATCACGTAATAAGACATTCCTTTCATTTAAAATGCTATGTTATTTAGCAAAACATAATCCTTATGATTAACCCTTTCGATAGTTATCATAAAATATGTCGTGTTTTATTTTTCGAAATTTCACGAGTTTGATTCCCAGTTGTAGCAGGCGATATTGAAAAAAATCTGTGAATGCAGTTCTCGTTATTATTAAAAATAAAATGATGTCTTCTTTTAGTAAAATCTTCAATATTTAATACATTTTCCCTCCGTGTGAGGTAGCCGTGGGAGGCCCTGTATATTGCACCTATAATATAATCAGGTGATCATTTAAGAATAAAATGAAGAGTAACTAGAATATAATGTATGAATTGTAAAAGATAATGAGTCATTTTGTGTTTTTTAAAGAACAAAACATTTGTGTTTAAAGTTGTTTGAAAATGTTATAAATATTCAATTAAGCTCTTTTGGGGAGGAAAAGTAAAATAAATTTTAATTTGCCGTACTTATAAGTTGACGACTGTGGTATCAAATTGGACGGTAGCGGTTCCATGTCCAATCCGTTTGTATCGTTATCTTTAATTTCGGAGGAAATAAAGTTTTCATCTATATTCAAATAGCTTGTAGTTTTTATCAATTTTTCTGAGACCTGAAAAGTATTTCTTTAAAATACTTACATAAATCAAAATAAAGATGGAATTTCATTTAAAAAAACTCAAAAGTAATAGCTCAATGTTATCGAATAACAGAAGGTGGTTATAAAATAATAATAATCTAGAATTAATATCAGCGCCATCTTCGTTACCAGAATACAAACATTTTAATATTTACATAGTGGCTGCTAATCTTTGTTCTGGAATCAAACAACGCAAAAAGAACACCGTAGATGGCGTTGCATACTTACATTTTTCATTTAGTGCTGTGATGCTGTGTTTAAAACTACTTGTTTAATTAACATTATGCTTAGATTTACACCATTAGTAGTTCTTACGCGCGGTACTAAATGCTGGACGGAATTGTGTTTTATATTTACATATTTCTGAACAATATCGTGATGTTAGACAGACCTCGTCATGATGCCAATTTGACCAACGCGTAATATTTATTATTATAAGAACATTTACCGGCATTAACTGAACAGACATAAGAACTTGGCCTCTGTACTCGGGACCTTTATAAATTTCATGCCATTGCAGTTTGGGAGCGAATTCCAGGCCAAGACGAACGTCCACTACTGGTTTTACTTTCGTGCGACCAATTAGGATAAGCTTTTCCTAAAATACAATTAAATGTATTACCCTGAACACTAGTTTAATAAAATTTACAGGACAAATAAACTACCCACCGTATAATCAATTTCGTATAACTCAACCATCATAATAGGTGGACTATTTATCATTCTTTCCAGTGATGAGAAGACCATGGTATTTATTTTCAATATTTGATTCCATACAGGTGATGCAGATTTCTGTATTTTCTATAGTTAGAAAAAGAAGTAATAACGAGAGGAAAGTATATTGTTTAAATAAATTCACAGGGATCACGTAGTGCAAACAAATTACTGAAAAGTTTAGGACTTAATAAGCAATTAAAAGTAATTAATGATAGCTAATCTACAATAAAGCGTCGGCTTAGGGTGTAAATCTGCTAACTGTTTACAGGAGAAACAACATTAAGTAAGTTTACAGGAGAAACAAAAAATGTTATAATTTTTTTATATAAAATTTAAGAAAGAACTTAAATATACTTGGTTCGATTTTTTATTATGCTTATCTTTAAAATAAATTAACCCGATATTTTTTGATAAAAACGTAGGAAAAAGCTAAAATAAAACTCTCTTCTTCGTGACAATGACGTATAATGAAAAAGTAACAAAATACAACCACAAAAACCATAGAAAAATAGAGCTATCAAAAATACATAAATAATATAAGAAAGGTCGACTTAGCGTAGTCAACATGGTCGCCCCCGTGTGGCAACACCAAAATACTACTAGACTACGCTATGTCAACAAAACTAACTTCTGTTTTGGCCTTCGTAAGGTACCAGACTCAGTGGCAACCTCGGCAACACGTACTACGCTATCGCGGCCTGGGAATAACGCAACCACCCACACCACAAGGCCAGACTCCTTGGGGTAAATTGCTATCTGCAACTAGTACCAAATCCCCGATTTTAACTGTACGTGTCCCCGCAGTTGTCCCTGAAGGTCGAGGCCTCAAATCCGGAAGGTACTCTTTCACCCAGTGCGACCAGAAATGATCTGCCAAATGTAGCCCTTTCTTCCACTTGACTCGGCGTACCAAATCCGCGTCATCCGTTGCCGTTAGAACGTTGTAGGGAGACGACGTACCTAATATAAAATGCGAGGGAGTGATGGCTTCCTCCACCTCGGGGTCGAAACCAAAGTGGTATCAGAAGAATAAATTCAATATGCTTACACACTCTGAAAAAGCTCTGGAGGCTCAGAAAGGTAAAAAAGGTCCGAAATCTAGTGGTGAGTCTGTATCAAAAATTTCTTCTTCTTCTTCGGTACGGCTCCAAATCGAAGCAGGGCATCAGCGGAACGGGAGCTAGCTGCCGCTGAATTGGCCGCTGCTGCACGCATGGCCGAAGCTGAGCTTGCCGTCGCTGCCCGCGTGGCCGCGGCAGAGCGCGCCGCCGCTGAGGCGGAACGCCTCGCCCAGCTTAAGCCAGCAGGTTAAATTCCGGAATCCGTACCGCTTCTCAGCGTTTACACAGCCATGGTAGCCGCACTCAAGCGTGGGTTAAAGCTTATGGCAGCTCGCAATCCGGGCCCTCTGCGCATGGTGCGCTTTCTGAGGACCCTATCGCGGGACCCCTGGCCCATGCGGTGCCTTTCGGGGGTTTGCCTACGGAGACCCTAGCGCACACTGCGCTTTTCGAGGGCCCCGTGGTTTCCGCACCGACTGCCGTGCAACAAGCACCTCCCTGCGTTCTAGCTTCCCATGACTGCTCTTGCAGAGTGTCAGTAGGCTCATGTCATACCCCTTTGTTCCCCCCCCCCCCCCCTGTCATCCTCCTACAGGGCAGTGCAATGCACAGATCAACAGGGCTCCTACACATTTACACTCCACATTAGGCACTCAACAACAAAATTGTAACATTAATTAAAATAATAACGAGTTTCATACTTCACAAAATATAATAAAACTAGCTGACTCGGCGAACTTCGTACCGCCCAAAAGTAATAATTTGCAATAAATTAAAATTACGACTATAATTTGAGATTTAAACTATCCTATCTCTCAAGTTGGATCGAACTGCACATGGTGTGCGAATTTTATTATAATCGGTTCAGTGGTTTAGGAGTCCATTGAGGACAAACAATGTGACACGAGATTTATATATATTAAGATTGGCTTCTGCCATTGCCGAGGTAGCTGCCGGTGCATCAAATAAAAAGGTAGGTGGTATCCATACAATTTCTTTGCCTATCTTCAGCGGATACCCGACCGACTGGCTCATTTTTAAAAAAGCTTTATGACGTCACGAACCCGTCGTATTCGGCTTCCGAAAATTCAGCTAGAATTAGTGCCGCTTTACGTGGGGCCGCGCGCGAATGTGTGAGCGTTCTTATTGCGGTCGCCCGCGACCCTGCCGAAGTCATTCGAGCTCTCGAGGAGACGTTTACCCGTCCAGACCGGATTATTTTAACGGAGCTCTCCTTGATTCGTAGTTTATCTAGGCTACCCAACCACGAGAGCTCGAAAGACTTAAATAATTTCGCTTGCAAAGTACGCAATTGTGTAGAGGTGGTGCGGCTTTTGGATCGGCCGGAGTATTTAGCCTCTCCGGAGTTATGCAACGAGATTGTTGGGAAGCTAACGCCGCTCTTACGCACTCGTTGGGCGGACTTTGCATGCAGAAACGAAAGCCTTCATAATTACAGATTAGAACTTTTGTCTAAATTTTTAGTCAGCGAAGCAAATCTACGCGCAAGATACGAGCATATGGAACCATCAAAACCATTATTGCATGTCACTCATGATATCGTTGACAAGCGTCAAAATGTTCATTTCGTTTGTCAAAACGAAACTTCTTTTTCGGCGGCATCCGTAGTAAACGACAACTCGAAATCATTCAAAGATGATTGTTTATTTTGCGAAAAGTCCGGACATTTCGTTCTAGGGTGTAAACAATTCCAAATTTTTCCAATTGATAAAAGGTGGGAATGGGTACAGTCAATGAAGGTTTGCCATAAATGCCTACGAAAGGGAGGTCATGCATATGCTCGTTGTAGAAAATTTTCATGCAAGCATAATGCATGTACGAAAAAATACACACATCATTTCATTCTTCATAGAGATGCTTCTGAATGTGCCACAGTTTCTTGTGTACTGTCAGCGCCCGAGGGAAGATTAAGGGTCGTCATTACTCAGAGTTCTTTGAGCTCAAAAATGTTCGCACCGTCCCCAGCTTGGATATTGCACCACAGTCCGTCAGACTCCACGATATTCAGGCTTTAGATTACATCTCCGACATTGCCGAGCTTCTGAGCTATGACGACGCTAAACCATCACTTTTGATTGGCGTAGATAATTGGCACCTTTTATTACCTTAAGAGGTACGTCGTGGTACACGCACCCAACCAGTGGCTACTTTGACCTCCCTCGGGTGGGTTTTGTTTGGCAAAGTTAAGTCAAGTTTTTCGCAAAATTGTTATGTTAACCATTGCCATGCTGTTACTGCTCCTGAACATGAGTCACTTGACGCTCAACTGAAAGAATATTTTCGCATGGATTCTATCGGCATAGTAAAGAAGCAATATATGTCAGATAGCGATAAGCAGGCGCTACAGATTTTAGATGAGACAACGCGACGTCTCCCATATCAGCAAGGTTCCCGACAGTCGTCCTTTAGCCCTGTTTCGGTTTCGTAGCTTAGACAATAAGTTTGGACGTGACCCTGGGTATGCAGCATCTTACAAGAGTATCGTTCAAGGTACAATAAGTAAAATTTACACCGAATTGTGTCCTCCATCCCCTAGCGGAGCCGTAAGCTGGTATTTGCCGCACTTCGGTGTAGTTCACCCCCAGAAATTGAAGTTAAGGGTGGTATATTATGCAGCCGCGCAGGTTCACGGTGTGAGCTTAAATTCTATGTTGCTTTCCGGGCCTGATTTTCTACAGCCTTTGTTGGCTTTACTAATGCGTTTTAGAGAAGGTCGAATAGCTCTCAATGCTGACATTCGGGAAATATTCCCGCAGACGAAAATTCGGGTAGAACATCGGGATGCGCAGCGGTTTTTATGGCGCGACGACCCCTCCGAGCCGATTCGCGAGTACAGGATGTCATCCTTGATTTTCGGTGCTACGTCAAGTCCCTTTACGGCTCTTTATTTGAAAATCGTAATGCCCAGAAATATTGTCACACGCATCCGGCGGCCGCTACTGCCATCATTAATGATACTTATATGGACGACTACTTAGGTAGTGTTGATACACCGGATGAGGCAGCAAACCTGGCATAGTTCATGTCTTATAGCAAGCTTCTTTGCAGATGCGCGACTGAGTGTCTAACTGTAAGCTGGCGCTTGCATCTATTTCGCCGAGTTGCGCCTCACAAACATATCCTCAGTGGCTGTTCGAATACTTGGCGTGAACTGGAACATCAGGGATGACACTCTGTGTTTTTCAAGGGGCAATTTAGGTGATTTGCCGACAATTTTAACAAAGCGGTCTGTTCTTTCGTATTTAATGAGCGTATATGATCCACTAGGTCTGCTTACTCCAATTATAATTCGCGGACGTTTGTTATTTCAACAGATCTGGAAACTAGGTTTACACTGGGACCAACAGCTGCCTTTCTTTTTGGTTAATAAGTGGACTCTTTGGAACAAAGAACTTTCAGCTTTATTTACGTGTTCGATCCCCAGGCATTATTTGGCTCATAACGTTGTTCAGGAGATTGAGCTTCATGTTTTTGCTGACTTTTTAGGTTTGTGTGCGCTGGTAGAAAGGTGATGCTCAGTCTCATTCGCGGAAAAGCACGACTGGCACCGTTAAAGCCAGTTTCAATACCTCGCTTGGAGCTTCAGGCCGCGCTCATGGCCGCGCGTTTTGCCCAGTATATTGTCGAAGCTCACAGGCGACAACCTTCAAAATTATTTTTCTGGTCAGATAGTATGACGGTTCTTCGATGGCTGCGAAGCGATGCCCGCTCATTCAAACCATTTGTTGTTCATCGGGTAGGCGAGATTACAGAGTTGACTAGCCGTTCCTGTTGGCGGTACGTCCGTCGGATTTGAATGTAGCGGACGACGCTACGCGCGTCGATCACCAATTCCGAATTTCCTCTCGATGATTTCTGGGGCCATCATTTCTGTCGTTACCCTTAACCGACTGGCCACAGGAACCATCCACTCAACCACCTCCAATACTCGAGGAGCTTAAACGAAGCGCCATGGTCCCTGTTTTGGAGGCGGTAGGGGCAATTGTTTCGCGAACACTATCT